GCGTGTCTCATGGTGGGATCAGCCATATTGTCCACTCTGTCCATTGGCTGTTCAGAGCGGGGATGTCGTCCTCCAGGCCTGGTGGGTTAGGACCATCATTATTTTCAAAGTCTTTTCTTTCTACTAGAGCCCTTGGTATCAGCTCCTTTTTTTCCCCCTCCTACTCCCACCCTCGTGGACCTTTGACAAAATATAAATTATTGTTATTTTTATATCTTACACCATCTGCTGTCTCCCTTCACCCACATTTCTGTTGTTTGTCCCCCTGGATGTGTGTGTTATACTTCAATCGTTGAGATCAGTTCCTCCTTTCTGCCCCTTCTCCCCTTGTCTTCCCCCAACCCTCATGGTATTGCTACTCTCATTATTGTTCCGGAGAGCGTTATCTGTCCTGGATTCCATGTGTCAAGAGCTCTTATCTGTACCAGTGTATATGCTCTAGTCTAGCCGGATTTGTAAGGTAGAACTGGGGTCATGATGGGTGGGGAGGAAGCATTAAAGAATGAGAAGGATGTTGTGTGTTTCATCAGTGCTATACTAGTGATTCCATTCTTGGAAACATTTTCAAACTCATCTGTTTGGATGACTGACAGCACCTCCCTTGTTTTTTTCTTCACTTCTTCTACATCATCAAATTGCAGTCTTGTCATGTACCTCGTCATTCACAGAAACAAAAAAGTCACACGGAGTGAGGTCAGGTGAGTCAGGTACGTGGGACAAGAGAGGCATGCTGTTTTTTGCCAAAAGCTGACACACTGAGATGGCTGTGTGAACAGGTGCATTGTCGTGGTAGCAAAACCAGTCCCTTCATCTGCCACAAATCAGGCCTTTTTCATTGCACACTGTTACACTGTCTTTTCAGAACCTCTAAATAGAAAGCTTGACTAACAGTCTGACCTGGTGGGATGCATTCCAAATATACTATCCCCCTCACATCAAAAGAACAAAAACAAATGAGCATAATTTGGGGGGGAGGTACCCCCTCATATGTGCTAAACAAATAATATGAAAAGGTGAACTATAGGAAGAAGAATGTGGCATTAGGATTGGAGGAAGATGCATTAATAACGTGGACTATACAGATTACACAGTCTTGTTTACAGCAAGCAAAGAGGATTTGAAACATTTGCTGGTGAAGATCAAAGACAGCCTTCAATGTGGGTTATGCCTCAACATAAAAAAACAAAGATCTTTATACTTACCTGCCAGGGAGACACCATGATCAGGAAGGGGGTTTTCCCAGGGCGAGGCTCACCCATTGCACTGCGGGTATGCTGACCCCTGCAATTTCCCCAAATGCGGGAAACTCGACTGCATAGTTTGTGGTAGTGGGGGACTGCGTTCACGCTCTCCCCTGATCTTACAAAAAAGAAGAAATAAAAGCAACAACAAGAACAAAGATCTTCACAAAAGGAACAACAAATAACATCATGATAAACAGAGAAAAGATTGAAATAGTCAAGAGTTTCATTTTCCTTGGATCCACAACCTATACCCACAGAAGCAGCAGCCAAAGAAATCAAATGACATAGTGCTTTGTGCAAATCTGCACAGGACCTCTTTAAAGTTCTGAAGAGCAAAGATGCCACTTTGAGGAGTAGGTACGCCTAATCTAAGCCACGGTATTTTCAGTAGCCTTAAAGGAATATGAAACCTGGACAATGAAATGGCTGGAGAAGAATTGATGCATGTGATTTAGGGTATGAGCAAAGATTATTGAAATTCCCGTGAATTGTCAGAAGAACCAATAAATCTATTGATAAAGATTTATATAGCCAGAGTGCTCCTTAGAAGTGAGGGTGGCAAAACATCATCTCACTTTCTGTGGCCATGTTATTAACAGTCATCTTGGAGAAGGACATGATGCTCAGTTAAGTAGAGGGTGTGTTAGACAGGGTTCTCTAGAGAAACAAAACCAGGACACTTATTATTAGATAGATAGATAGATAGATAGATAGATAGATAGATAGATAGATAGATAGGTTGATACAGCATGAAGGAATATAACAGCTAGTTAGTCCACACAACAGTAGAGAAGGCTCAGTTCAACTCACTTCCATGGAACAGTTAATATACTGAAAGTCCTTCAACTCACGAGGGGTGCTGGGTCCAAGGTCAAGGAAGTAGACTGCTGAGTCTTCCCTCAGGCAATGCAGGCAGCCTGCCTACAGGCAGCAAACAGCAGGGCGGGTCTCCAACAGTCAGCAGCTCAGTTTAGCAAAGGAGGCCTGGATGGGTTATCAAACTCAAGCAATGCAAGACAACAGGCTCCACCAGCCTCAAGCTCAAGCGATGTACACAACACCAGCATAGTGAAGCAGGTCTGGAAGGAACCTCAGGCTCTAGCAATACTATCCCACAGGTTGGCTGTCACACAGGTAGTGTAGCTCACAAGTTGAGGCAGAGAACTAGCTAAAGCAGTTCTTTGATCACCAGAGAGCTACAGAGCAAGAGAGAGAGGGACAGGACATGCTGAGCCATTTATCTCTGCCCTCCAATCAAACTACAACCTTATTAATCCCACATGTTCCTATTGGCCAGGTTGGCACAATAAACCTACCTATCACAGTGGGTTAGGCAAGAAGAGGAAGACCCTCCAAAAGGGGCTTGAACATTGCAATGATTGCAAGGATGGTGCAGGTGGAGGCACTCTTTTGTCCTGTAGTACATAGGCCCACTGTGAGTCAGAACTGATTCAACAGCGCCTCCTAGTGACAGCAAAGGGGAGTCAGTGGAATGAAGAAATTAAGATGGGAGAACCTTGAAGCTACTAATAAACTGAAGAAAAGGATTTAGGAGGAAGAAGATATAAAAGAAAGCTGAAACTGATGAGCTAATACTTTCGATTATAAGGCAAAAAAGAGACATCAAGAGTACAGGTCAGTAGTACAGAAGAGAGAGACGGGAGGAGGGGTCAGGTGCAGAGAGAGATGTCAGTAGAGATGGGAATTTGAGGGGATTCATTCAGTTATCTCAAATTTTAGAAAATTCTCACAGCAACTTGTGAGTTGTTCTCCTAGTGGCCACTGCCTTTCTGAACACAAGACAACTAAGACAAAAGAGAACGCCACTGCAGAAACACTGAACACAAACACTTCAACCTCCTTCATGGTGATCCTGTCCAACCACACTGTCCCCTCTCCAAGTGCAGGATGATAATGAGCTTTTCTAGGACCTCAGCCCCTCCCATTCTAAGATGAGTGAGAGTCCTCCATTATGTGGGTTCTTCTTGATGTCTCTCTGTTAGCTCACTGATGCAGCGCAGGAATTGTGTGCTTACGCAGATTTCAAGTCATTGGATAAACAAGGTTGACTTAATGTGTTTGAATTGTTTCCAGGTCGCCCTTTTTCAGTAGCCGTGTTTGAGGATCATGTGTGGTTCTCTGATTGGGCTGCACCATCGGTGATAAGAGTGAACAAGAGGACCGGCAAAGGCAGGGCGCGTCTCCAAGGGCGTATGCTGAAGCCCTCATCCCTGGTTGTGGTTCATCCCTTGGCAAAGCCAGGTACACTTGCAAGTGTTACAGTCTTTCTCTGGGTTGGTTAAGTGTAGTGATTGTTTGATGCTAGAACAGCAGGGAGAGTTAGATATTTTTGCTAACCTGAGGGGTTGTGAAGATTCCCTAAAATTTGGGCTTTGTTTAAACTAAGACAATCTGGTAGAGATTATATAGTATCATTTCTTGGTGTTATTGCCCTGATTGTATCTTTACTTCGCTACAGTTTTTTAACAGCTTACTGGTACTTATCTGTTATATCTTCAGACACTCGGGGGTTAAAAGGCACACAGGGGCAGACTTTAGATGGCTTCTCTCTACACTGGGACTTTCCCCACCCATTGGGCATGCCAATGAGTCAGCTAGGAGTAAGCCAATAGAAACGGCATAGTAGTCCTCCTGTTCTTCTGGCTGAAATGTTTTTGTACGTTTGACTAAGTGATGAGTGTTTTTGTATGTTTGACTAAGTAATGTTTTGTACGTTTGACTAAGGAATAGGAATCACACCTCTTACAGAGCTTCTTGCACTGAAACACTATACTTAATCAATACATGTCAGGTAATAACTTCTGAGAGATCCGTGAATCCTTATGGAAGCTCTTCTGAAATACTCTCCCCAGGGGTAGCGTGACTGTGATCTGCATGAATGGCATCTGTTTCATCTCCAGACACATCTGCCAATTTGCTTTCATTTCCTACCAGGAGCAGATCCCTGCTTACACCAAAATGGTGGCTGTGAACATTTTTGCCAAGAGAGGCACGGAATTGCTCATTGTGCATGTCGTGAAGGTTTTAGGAAAGCCTCAGATGGGAAAACGTGCTTGGCTCTGAAGGATCTTCATTTATCAGAAGGTAGTATGACAAATTTATATGATGAGATGCTCTTACCTTGGCTCAGGAATGTAGTACGACAGCCATCCCTATGCTTTTGCTGACGTTTAATATTTTATGTTATTGAAAGCTCCCCTGTTTTGAGGGATGCAAGATGCTTCCCCCCTGCCCCCCTTTCTGATGTATTTTGGATTCCTTGAAAATTTAAGGAGCTCTGGTGGTGTAGTGCTTACTAATTGCAAAGTGAGCAGGTTGAAACCACCAGCTACTCTATGGGAGAAAGATAAGACTTTCTACTCCTATAAAGATAAGATAAGGCTTTCTACTCCTATAAAGAGTTACAGTCTCAGAAACACACAGGGGCAGCACTATCCTGTCCTAAAGGGTAGCTAGGGGTCAGCATCAACTCGATGGCAGTTTTGGATTTGTATAGCGTTTGGTTGTAGATTTAAGTCAATTGGAAACCTCTAGTTCCATGGTTCTCAACCTTCCTAGTGCCACGACCTTTTAATACAGTTCTTCATTATTTTTGTTGCTACTTCATAACTATAATTTTGCTACTGCTATGAATTGGGGGACCCCTTTGAAAGGGTTGTTCAACCCCCAAAGGGGCTGCGACCCACGGGTTAAGAACCACTGCTCTAGTTATAAAATTAAGGAACAACAGTTAGTATTCAAAGTCTTAAACTGCAGTCTCCCCTCCCTTAAAATAAGAGCTGAAACACAGGGAATCCAGGACAGATAAACCCCTTAGACCAATAATGAGAGTAGTGATACCAGGAGGTGAAGGGGAAGAGGGGAGAGAAAGGGGGAACTGATCACAATGATCTACATATAACCCCCTCCCTGGGGGATGGACCACAGAAAAGTAGGTGAAGGGTAACATCAGTCAGTGTAAGACATGAAAAAAAAATTTATAAATTATCAAGGGTTCATGAGGAAGGGACGGGGTGGGGATAAGGAGTTGATACCAAGGGCCCAAGTAGAAACAAAATGTTTTGAGAATTATGATGGCAACAAATGTACAAATGTGCTTGACACAATGGATGGATGTATGAATTGTGATCAGAGTTGTACGAGTCCCCAATAAAATGATTTTCAAAAAAATCTGTTAAAAGGGGAGTGAATAAACTTAGAAATAAACGCCAACGTCTTACGACCTCACAAAAATGTGTGGAGACAGTTTGTCTCTCAGGGTAGTCATACGGAATTCTTGGGTGACCTGAAGAGTGGAGGTTGCCATAAGACGAGTGAAAAGGAAGGAGGAGGGACGACCGACCGGATCTAGAAGCAAGGGAAGAGACGTTAACAAAGAGGCCTCGACTGTTTGAAAAAGTTGCTCAGGTTGTGTTTGTAGGAATTGAAGAGCGATTGTCAGCTTCTTGTCTTTTTAAAAACATCTTCAGCTCATAATTTTACAGTCCATTTTTCTTGCATGTTATAGAATGTTCTTAGGTGTGTTATTGTTTCTGTGACAACTTCATCAAATCAGTCAAGTAAGTGATTCTCCTTAAAATCTGAGGATTGAATCTGCTGAAGAGGCATGCCAGCGTGATACGGAGCACACTGCTAACCTCATTGTTCTCTGCACAATCGTCTCACGACTCGTTTTGAATCCTGGGCTGTTTTCCGTACCAACTTGCCAAGTATTATTAAGGGGTGAGGCGTCATAATATGAAATGGGGGTCGGTGAATTAAAAAATGAAACAAAATGACAAAACACACACAAATATTGCTATCATTATATATTTACATATGTGCATATCCATATTTATACCAATATATATAATGTTTGCTTTCTTACTCTTTCCTCTTTTTCTGTTTTCTTTCCTCCTGCCCCCCAGTCATGTTTACCCATCGTTCACCTCTCAGTAATTACTCTCAGATACCTTTCAACTGATCAAACATGACCACAAGTGCTATACTCGCCTCACCATCAATTTTGGATGCCTTACTATTCCCCTGTCCCTGTCATTATTTGCTCATCGCACTCCTCCCCCAGCCTCCTTCTCGCCCATGCCCCCGGGAGCCATCGGTCCATTGCTCTTTGGGATCGCTTCTCCTGCCTAACTTCTATAGACAAACACCAAGAGGGGGGAAAATAGAGACCATACAAATAGTTCCTAGTCTAGTATCCCTCTGTTACATGGAGAGCAGGCCCTCTTATAATCCATTAGTCCGATCCCCTTTTCTTTCATAATCCACATCTAGGACCTGCTTACCTAACAGCATGTACAACCCTTTCAGCCCTCAGCGTTTGTGTCCGAGGGGCGTGCCTTCGACAGGACGCCATTGCTTTCCCTGCAGTCAAGGATAGAGCGGTCTAGTGCCCCACCCCGTAGCACCTTTAGACTCTCAGTGTGGTCCCCTTGTGGATATACCCCAACCAGTTCAGATGAGGTGCCAAGTGCTGCCCCAGAGTCAGAAGTGTACAGTGGTGCTTCCTCAGGGCCTTCTTGGCTTTGCTCGCACTGCTGGTGAGTTGTACTCCCCTCTTGGTTTGCCCCAGGTGGGCAGGTCAGACCAGCCCCTCTCCAGAACTCTATCTTCAGTGCTGTCCTCTGTAACAACACTGTCATCGAAGGAGGGGGCGTCAGGTCTGGAGCTGAGGCCTGTCCTGCAGTCCTCGTTGTGAATGAGCTGCTGCAAGCAGGAAAGTCGCCCTAAGGCTTGGTGCACTGGGATGAGGTCTGCTCTCTCCCTTTCCTGTGGAGACATACACAATGCCCTCCCCTGGGTGCATGAGTGCCTTGTTCTCCCATTGCCTCCTTTTCCCTTCCCCCTGCCCTCTGTAGGCCGTGAAGGGATGGGGGGTGGGGGTGGGGGGATGTCTTTCTGCACAGGTACTATCTGCATCTTTTTCTTTTTTTCTTTTTGATGACGTCTGCATCATAGCCAGTGACCTGGCTCTTGCCAGAGTGTCTGGTCCCCAGCCTGGGCTCTGTGCGACATGTACATTGCCCCTATGCCCGGTCTGTTGTTTGAACTGACCTCGTGCACCCATATACTTGTCCTTTTGTGCTTGGCTACCTTCACTCCGCATAGTATCCTCCAACTCTTTCCAAGAGATGAGGTGCTTCATTGTTTCATCACTATATTTTAGGGATGCATAGTACTTAATTGGGTATCTATACCAGGGTTTTTGAACCCCTTCATCTATTGATGGAAATTTAGGCTGTTTCCAATTCTTTGCTATCGTGAACTGCACCACAATGAACATTGGAGCACAGATGTCTGGTCGTGTCCTGTTTCTTGTTTCTTCTGGGTGTCTGCCCAGTAGTGGAATTGCTGGGTTGTAAGGTTATGTAAGGTTACTTAATTTCTCTGTAGTAGGTATTGCTTTCCACAGTGGCTATACATATCTACAAGACCACCAGCAGTGAATGAGAGTTCCTATCTCACCAGACCACTGCCAACATCTATTGATTTTTTTAAAAAATAGGGCTATCCTTGTGGGTGTTAGGTGGTATCTCATAGTTGCTTTGATTTGCATTTCCCAGTGGCTGATGATCGGGAGCATTTTCTTGTACGGTTACTGGCCATTCGGGTTTCTTCCTTTGTGAATCTTCTGATCGAGTCTTTTGCCCCCTCCTCAGTGGGCTATTCGTGTTTGTTTGTTTTTGTGAGGTTGCAAGGTTCTGTAAATTTTGGTCATAAGACCTTTGTCTGATAAGTCATTACTAAATCTCTTTTCCCTGTCTGTGGCCTCTCTCATTACTCTCCTAATGAAGTCTTTCAATGCATACATGTGTTTTATCTTCAGTATGTCCCACACATCTATTTTCTCTTCCTCTGGGTATGTAGAACTTCATGAGTACTAATAGCCCATGGATTCCTGCTGCATGGTTCTTTGCTTTGTACAAATTTTTTTCATTGATGATCCTGATAATTTTAGGTTTTACCTCCAGGTCTGATACATCTTGAATTTTTCCTTGTGTATAGGGCAAGGTAAATGTCTTGTTTCATTCTTCTGCAGGTTGATATCCAGTTTTTCCAGCACCAATTATTAAAAAGGGCATCTGATTCCCATTTGATTGGGGGTGGGGGGCGCTGATCTTATCAAAGATCGATTGACTTGTATTTTGCTGTTTTTATTTCTGGATTTTCTGTTCTTATCCATGGATTTGAGTATCTATCATTATACCAGTTCCATGCTGTTTTGACAACCATGGTTGTATAAGTTTTAAAGTCAGGTAATGCAAGCCCACATACTTTATTCTTTTCCTTGAGGAGCTCTTTGCCAATTCTGGGTTTCTTCCCTTTCTGTATGAAATTGATAGTCAGTTTTTCCATTTCTTTGATAAATGATGCTGGTATCTGTATCAGGATTGCATTGAACCTTATATAGTGCCATAGGTAGGATTGCCATCTTTACAATATTGAATCAGTATTAAGCCTGGGATGTTTTTCCATTTGTGAAGGTCCCTTTTGGTAAGGTATATTCCTAGATATTTTAATTTATGCATAGCTATTGTGAAGGGTACTCCCTTTATCTCTTTCTCTGTAATCCCATCAGTTGTATATAGCAATCCTCTCGACTTCTGCTTGATGATCGTGTATTCTGCCACTCTACCATATTCCTCTATTGCTTCAAGCATTCTTATTATGGAACCTTCAGGGTTCTCAATATATAAAATCATATCATCTGCAAATAACAATAATTTCACCTCTTCTTTCCCCTGACATATATTTTTGATACCCTTCCATTGTCTTATATTATCAGCTTGGACCTCCAGGATAATGCTGAATAAGAGTGGGGACAAGGGGCATCCTTGTCTGGTTGCCTTTTTCAGTGGGAATGTTTCATCTATTATCCTTTGATTGTAACACTGGCTGTTGGATTTTCGGATTTTCATATATAGCTTTAATTATACTGAGGTAATTTCCTTCCAGTCTAATATTCTTGAGTGTCTTAATTAGGAATGGGTGTTGAATGCTATCAACTGCTTTTTCTGTGTCTATTGATATTATTATGTGTTTCTTGTCCTTTTTCTTCTCAGTGTGGTAGATAATGTTAATAG